AAATAGTTTCTGAATACGACGAAATAGTTTCTGAATACGACGAAATAGTTTCTGAATACGACGAAAAGAGTTTCTGAATACGGCGAAATAGTTTCTGAATACAAGAGTTTCTGAATACAACGAAATAGTTTCCGAATACAACGAAATAGTTTCTGAAGACTAGTTTCTGAATACAGTGCAGTTTCTGAATCCGACTTTGTTCATGATATGACTGCGCAACAATCCGGTCACAAGGCCCAGTGGGACACCATTAGAGGAACATGGACTGGATGCTTACAACTGACAGCCGTGTCGTCCCCCGAGCTGCTGGTAAAATCGTGAAGAACATTCAACAACGTGTTACGACTTGAAAGACCACAGCGGAGAAACACCAATGCCAACCAAAGTTTGCTTACTATGCTTACTTGGAATACTTGCATGTACTTCAAGTGCGTTTTCTTGGTGCACATGTGGAGACTGCCACTGTTTGAGTGTGTTTCTTATTGAAATTATATATCATTGATTGTTGTTTTCCAGGAACCAACAAAACCCTTGCTTGCACTGTTTGAGCGTTGCCTCTTAATGAAGATATAGCCAAACTAGGTCAACCAGTGTTATGACTGAAGGAATCGGCAAAACCCAAGCTCACCACCAAAGCAAAAACATTTTTTGCAGCCTTTCATTGACCTAAACAGTGGCTGTGGAAACCCCAATCCATCTGACCCTCCTTTCTGGGACAAACTGGTTCACCACAGCAGAGCCGTGCCGCGTGCTCTCGAGCCTTCTCGTGGATGAGGAGCTCAGCGTCCACTAACAGGATGCCCTCGACACGGTGCATGTCTTGGGGCAACAGTTCTCCAGAACCACAAATTCAATTTCAACTGAAAGTTTTGTCAACGCACTCAGACAATCTCAGACAGAGTCCTGGGGCACAAGCATCTTCGTGCATCCGTGATGCCCAGGGTCTCCAACAACGTTGCGCCCTCACCCTGTTGCGTGGGCTTCTGCGTAGCTGACCAGCTCGCTCTGCCTCGGCGGTTGAGCTTGCTACAAAAGGCCTGGCGAGACAAGAACCACGTTCGCCAGCAGCGGTGCATGGTGATTCTCTGACCGAGGGAATTTCAGCTTCGTGGCCTCTCAGTCACCCTCCTTGCACGCGACCACATGAAGACGGTCCTGGATCCTACAAGATCGTCCTGACAAAGTCAGCCTGAAGATGATCAGCGGTGACATTGGTCCTTTGGTTCCTGGCAACCTTCTGTTCCTACACGCTTTGACCGACGACGTCTTGTTTGAAGCAAAGACGTCTTGGGCGGTGGACTTCTGGATTCGTGGGGCCTGTTTCAGTGGCCGTTGCGGCCGTTGGACTCTGAAAATCAAGCCCGTTGATCTGCACCCCTAGCCTTCAGAGTACAGGTGCGCAAAGCCCCACCAACCTGCAATTGGCCAGCAACGGCTAGAGTCATCCCGGTCCTGTCGCACATGTTGTTCAACGTTGGCACCGCGCAGGTGTGAACGTTGGCGTCGCAAGTCACATCCTGAAGAAAACACTGACTCACTGGGCCTCACAGTTGCAGGCACCTGCGCGTCCGTGTCCCCTACGGCAGTCTCCTCCCAATCTGAAGTGGGATCAGCCTTCACTAGCCTGCCACCTGACCGACACAAAAACTCTGCAATCTGGATGGACATATTTGCAATGTTGGGCACACAATTGCACCTCAGGCTGCCCAGAACTTGGTCTGAAGTACAAGCTCATGATACACGGGTCAAGAACTTGTCGCGCTTGTGTCGACAAACGCTATGGACAACGACACCTGTGCAGAAAGCAAACATATATTATATACATATACAAACAATATGTTCAATTAGCCTGCGGCATCTTACGTAGTTATGCGCGCGTGCAATGCAAGATCGGCAGCCGCCAAGCCGGCACCACAACAGGATGGCTACTAGTACAACACCTATGGATCGGTTTGCAGGAGGATGTTTCTACCACCCAAAAGTGTGGAATCGTAACCAATCACATCCAAGGGGGTGGTCAACTGGACTTTCCGAGTGTAAATATAGACTTCTTGTTGGAGCAATCACTCTGCATAGATTGGGCATTGCCCCCAACCAAAGCCGATGACGGTGAGTGTTCCGACCTCCGTAGTTCGGTGACCGGTGGGACTGAAGGGCACTGCCAGGGTCCAGTCCTACCGAACCTGAGCTGGGACGGGAGCCCATAGGGTTAGTCCTTTCTGAGTCTCCAAGTATCTGAGGGTTACTTAGGGTTACTCCTTTTCTGAGAGCCCTAGGGTTCGACTCCCCTCTCACCGAGTCTCTCGCCTGGGCCAACTCCTCAGCAGAGCAGCTCTTCATCCTGGCCGCGGCGCGCGAGTGGGCGCGAGTGGCGCGCGTCGAGTGGCTCCCGAGTCAGACACCGATCCCGAAAAAGAAAGGTGAACCGCACTGAATACACCTGTTTGTGTCTGGTGGGGTGTCCCCCAATCGGAAGTCGCTGAATGACAAAGGCCAGAAAATACCACACACTAAACTCACTAACTATATATACCAGCAGTCACAAAGGGGTGCTTAATGGAGGTTCGGAGTGCCCATTATCCATTCACTTAGGGACCAAACACCACCCCTTTGTGACTGCTGGTATATAATTCTACCTGCGGTGGTTATGTCTGGTGATTCGCCACAACAAGTGCCTGGTGCACCCTTCCTTCTCATGGATTTGATGGACCTCCAGGGACCCAAGGTGTCCGTTGCACGAACCAGAGCTCGGCTGCTATTTGCAGGACATCCAAAAGGAGTTACGTGTCCAAGCGCCGCGTGAGGTTGATGGTGGACAACGTGGAGTTGTCCAGATGTTGGATTGGAGGGGCTAGCAGACTTGCGTTCATTGACGTTCTTGTCAAGTTGGGACATATTTCTTTTCCGCCTGTATAACGCCATGGCCCATAGCGGCTTTGGCAGCTCTACATGGTACTTGATCAAACATATCTCATGATGGAACGGCCATTCTTTGCATCTAAAAGGTCGTTCTAGGAAAACAATAATAGTAACTTACAGTACATGCCCCGGTAGATCAACTCTCATATGTTTGATCATATATAATCCCCCAAACCCTGGTGACGGTCATGTTTCACCTCCATCCCTCACCTGTTCGCGCCTCCGCAACAAGTCGGCCAGGGCGTCTCGTCCGGCCGCGGATAAAATCTCAGAGCGGAGCAACTGGAGCAACTGGAGCGGAGGAGGGGAAGATGTGGCTGTGGGTCAAAACCCCATATGCCATACACGACTAATGGGACTGCCATAGGACTGCCGCCCCATTGACCCCCTGGCACCATCCCTGGCCTGATCAGCAGTCCTATGCCGGTCCCAAACAGGTCGTGTCTGGGTATTGGTGGACACCGCTGAAAATGAACAGATTCCAGGTGCCCTGACCCAGCCAGTCATCGAATATGTGGATCCTTTTCACACGGTCGGGTACCATGACCCGGTTGTTGCGGATGATCAACCTACCAGGCTTGGACTCAGGACTCGGCAGCACTGGTACTAAGCGGAATGTGGGGGGCATCATCCGAAAAGTCGGACCGCTGTGCCCAGGTTTGGCCGATGTGTTTTGAAGCTTGGGACAGGCTTCGCCTCCGGCACGTGTCTCCTGTCTGTTTTTTGGTTCCTTAATAGAAAGGATGCACTCCTGTCATGCAATACCAGGTTGCTGGCAGATGTCTGATACAGATTGCTTGGAAGGGAGAACCAGGTGCAGAGTTGTGCTAGGAGAAGGGTAAAATCTGCACAAACAACTCCGGGAAAAATGGCCTTGCTGATTCAACCTCCGATCATGCCAAATGACCAGAAACCCCGAGTTCTGTACCATGACCCATCCCATCCGGGATCAGAAGGCATGACTGGACCCTCCAAACAAAGGTCTCCAATCACCTTCTCAGAGGGTGGTCAGGGATCTGGAAAAACCAACGTCTTCTTTATTTACTGTTGGCTTCGGACAGGGACGACCAGGTTTCGGTCGCCAATTCTCTGGTTGGATTTCATTGTGGAGGGATTCTGTGTTGGTTTCCCTTGTTGAAGAAACGCGACACGACGAGGGTTCCACAGCATTTGCCGGAAGACGATGGAGTGCTGCCTTCCTGCAAAACAAAAAAACGAAATGGGTCTCTGGAGTGCTGCTTTGCGGAGATACATAGAGAAAATCTGTGTTCTTCTTTGAGTTGAATATTCACCCAGTGGCTGTCTCTTCCAAAAAAAGAAAAAAATGGCAACGCGATGCAGCTTGGAGTTCCAAGTTCAACCCCAGCACCGGAAATCTGAGTTTCGCGGCAGCTCCACGCCGACCATGGCCTCGTCGTGTGAGTTCCCTGGTGGGTTCCCTGGTGGGACTGGAAGATTGTTAGCTACCAATCCCTAGGGCTCCTGGCCCCTATCCTCAGGTGGTTAGACCTCCAAACCCACCCACCCCAAGCATCTTCGAAACGGAGGTAGGACAGGAGCACTAATGACTGACCCTATGAACATCTTAGTTACATTGACCCCAGGACATCCTACCACGTTTTGTTCAACTGAAACGAGTTTCGGGTTTTCTCACGGTCTGCCCCTTTCAACGAAGAGCCAAAAAAGGTAGGTGGAGCAGTCTTCCAAAGGCAAAGGTTGCGCTGGTCATGTTCTGTCAGGTAGGCAATTTAAGTGGGGTCACTTCTCCTCCAACTCCCCATGGAGCTCGTCATACTGATGCTACTCGCGTGTTTTGCTTCTCTTGTCCTTTGTACGGTCGAGTCCTTCGTCTCGAGGAACACCACGCAAACAACGCCCGCTCTGGGTGGCTTTATAGGCAAGACTTTTCAGGCAGGGCTTTGATACCAAAAAAAAGGGGTTGATGCCCCTGGTATGATCAACTCCAGTAACATCCAAACATGAGGTCTTTGACCAGTATATACTCTTTTGCGGGTGGTCACCGCTGCTTGTCAGAGTCTTTTGACGTCGTCTTTGGCCCCTCTGGAAAAGGACCATCCCAAATGGGCGAACATGGACGTACCCTCCCTTCAAGAAACATGAAGGTGGAACATGGCCCAAACAGGAAGACTGTTTCTCTCTTCTTACAGGGGGTGTCATCCGCTTCCATGATTCTGTTAGGGAGGAATGTATACATTCAAACGTACAATTGATCGTGCAGCAAATGATCTGGATCGAAGTACCCAACTAAAAGGCTTTCTCCTTGGACACATTCTCCCACCTCTCCAACCGCATCCAACACGACTGCCACGGAGAGCGAGTGGCCGTCGACGACCGCCACGGAGGCAACCGAGGCATCCACAGAGATGTAGAAGGTGTCCTGCGGAACCATCATGATGTCATGTATAGACTGAAACTGTATACGCTGTATATTGTTGGATACTGAATAAAAACAAAAACCCATAATAAAACCATCTAAAACCTCTGCTACGAGGCTGTACAATCCAACGTCCCCGGGTGGTTTTGAATCTGTCGACCGCCTCAGCCAGCCAGTGCTTGTCATGCTCAAACGCCCCGCCCCAGTCTCAGCGCAGCGAACCGGCGGGTCTCGGTCGGTCGGTTTCGTCGGTGGGATCCGCTTCAGACCGCTTGAGAGGTCGAACCATGGAGACTATAGCGGAGAAATGGCGGAGACATGCTGCGAGGAACACTGGAGAGGTTCGGACCAACGGCCTGCTCTTTTAGGTCACCAGAATGGAGGATGTCTGATGTCCATCGTAGACAAGGTCTACTCTGCACGGCGATCAAGGTTTTAAGGGTCCATGTTAGTCTTCAATAGGGTTATTCCCCCCTCCCCCAAACTAGACGACGAGTGGCCCGAAAGCATTTTTCATCACGTAGGAAGTCAGAGTGCGAGTTATCTGTTAAGTGTGTTATAAGTGTTCAGTGTGAAGTGTTAAGTCGAGTGTGTTGAGGCAGTGTGTGGGTCTCTGTGTGTGTGTATCTATGTCTGTGTGTGTATGTGTCTCTCTCTGTATGTCTTTCTGAAGCGCAGGAACACCTGTTTTCTGCAAGTTCTTCACCTCTCGAAAGTCACCTCCGCGTAGTAAAGTTGTACTACAAAGTCGCCAGTTCTCATCTTCCAGCTCCACAGATTGCTCCGTGTACTAAAGTTCTACTACCAAGTCGCCAGTTCTCATCTTCCAGCTCCCCAGATACTCCGCGTACTCAAGTTGTACTACCAAGTCGCCAGTTCTCATCTTCCAGCTCCCCGGATACTCCGCGTACTAATGTTGTACTACCAAGTCACCAGTTCTCATCTTCCCACTCCCCAGATACTCCGCGTACTAAAGTTGTACTACCAAGTCGCCAGTTCTCATCTT